TTGCTCTTGTCATATTCATTATTGATGTTGGTTGTTGGTTGGTGGGCAGTGGCGCCGTCGTTGCTGTTGCTGTTCATGCGCTGTTGCTTCTGCTGCTGTCATAGTTGCAGCTGCTGCTGTTGATTCTACACAAACTGTGTGGCATCAGTCATGGTGGTGTCCCTAGTGAAAGCAGCGCCGTTCTAGTGGTTCTAGTTGCAGTCACTGTTGCAGTTGTTGCTGCTATTGGCGGACAGCAAAGCAAATGTGCCAGCTCACCACCACCACCACCACCACCTCCACGACGAACAACGCACAAAGAACAAGGACAATTCGGCGGAACAAAAAACAACAACCAACAAAACACAAACAACGAACAACATACAAAGAACACGGAACGAAAAACGACACCGCACAACAAACAACGGACAACGGACAACAAACGACCAACAAACAACAATCAACAAAAAACGGACACCGAACACAAACAACGAACCACAAACAACAAACAAGCGACAGAAGCACAAAGCAACCAACAAACAACCAACAACCTGCCAACAACCAACAGCCAACCCACCACCACAAAAACACCGACAACACAACCAACACCACCTCCACCGCCGCCACCACCAACGCCAACACCAATATCAGCATCAGCATCAGCATCAGCAACAGCAGCAGCAGCAGCAGCAGCAGCAGCAGCAGCAGCAACGGCAACAGCAACAAAAAACAACAGCAGCAGCAGCAGCAACAACAACAACAACAACAGCCACAACCACAACCACAACCACAACAACAACAACAACAACAACAACAGCAACAACAACATCAACATCAACAACAACAACAACAACAACAACAACAACAACAACAACAACAACAACAACAACAACAACAACAACAAGCAGCAGCAGCAGCAGCAGCAGCAGCAGCAGCCACAACAACAACAACCACCACCACTACCACCAACAACAACAACAACAACAACAAACAACAAACAACAAACAACAAACAACCACCACCACCAACAAGAACAAAAACAAGAACACGAACAAGAACAAGAACAAGAACAAGAACAACAACAAGAACAACAACAACAACAACAACAACAACAACAACAACAACAACAACAACAACAACAACAACAACAACAACAACAACAACAACAACAACAGCAGCAGCAGCAGCAACAACAACAACAACAGCAACAACAGCAACAGCAGCAGCAACAACAACAATCATGACGACAACGCTGACGACGACGAGGACGCCGACAACGACCGCAGCAACAGCAACGGCAACAGCAACAGCAACAGCAACATCGACAACATCGACAACAACGACAACGACAACGACAACGACAACGACAACGACAACGACAACGACAACAACAACAACAACAACAACAACAACAACAACAACAACAACAACAACAACAACAACGACAACAACAACACCAGCAGCTGCAGCAGCAGCAGCAACGACAACAACAACAACAACAGCAGCAGCAGCAGCAACAACAACAGCAACAAGAACAACAAGAACAACAAGAACAACAAGAACAACAATAAACAATACTACCACGACGAAGACACTGACAACGAAAACGAATATGACTACAACTTCGACTACAACTACGGCTACGACTACGACTACACTGCTGCTACTGCTACTACTAGACCTACTACCACTACTTCTACTATTTCTACTTTTTCTGCGGCCATCACTCCATGTCCAGTCTATTGCATTCTGAGCGTGCCACTTAGCCCATTGCGGATCCATTGCTAAGCTGCTTGTAGCGGAAACTGAGCAAGACTCCCAGACTATCAAATGCGTGCTACTCCAAATTCTGCAATGTTGCTGCTGTACTTCTGATAAACGAATAGTATGTTAGGCTCGCACCATATGGAGCGCCATCGTGGAGTAGGCTTGCCAGCAAGCCCGACCACTGGTACAAACCCTGCCAGTATACAGTGCTCACAATACGGTCACAATGCCATTCAGAACCAGAGCCTCTTTCTTGTTGGCTGCCATCCACTTGCGCATGGCAGCGCTCGTTTCCCGCAGGTCTGTATCGATCAAGCCTAAAGAATTTGATTCCGCATTGCTCAAGTCTCGCACTTGTTGCCTGTCCTCGCAGAAGTTGTGGCACGGAATCGAAACGTTTTGTGTGAGGCCACGCTGAGAAATCTGACAGCCTGGCAAATAGCAAACATCAATCACTGCAAAGCTGTGCCCAGCTAGCCTAGCCTGAGCCACGCCATGACTGATGTCAAGGCGCGCGTCTTTTCATACCAAAACGGCGCTGCGGAACCCCCTGACTCAGGCAACTTCTGCTTAGCGAAGCATGAATGCCATCTGACACGCGGATCTCAGCGCCAAACAATGTGTTGTGTTGGGCAAACCTTGGGAAGCATCAGATTTTTGTCCAATCGTGAATCAATTGACGTGCAACTTGCCTTGGAATGGCGCCGCATGCACCATGAAACCATAGGGGACTGACTTCTGAAGCCTGCAGCAT